TAGGCTGTTTCCAAATCTTAGTTATTGTAAAGTGTGCTGCTATGAACATAGGGGTGCATATATCCTTCCTGATTGGTGTTTCTGATTCCTTGGGATATATTCCTAGAAGTGGGATTACTGGATCAAATGGGAGTCCCATTTTTAATTTTTTGAGGAAACTCCATACTGTTTTCCACAGTGGCTGCACCAGTCTGCATTCCCACCAGCAGTGCACGAGGGTTCCTTTTTCTCCGCATCCTCTCTAGCACTTGTCATTTGTTGATTTGTTGATGATAGCCACTCTGACAGGTATCTCATTGTCATTTTTATTTGCATCTCTGAGATGATTATCTATGTCTTCTTGAAGTAATTGTGTACATCAATGATCATTTCATTTAAGTTATTGATTTGTTGGCATTAAGTTACTAATAATACAGAGACATGGACTTCCAGTTTTCATTTGATACCCTTCTGTACTCTGATCAGGATCTTATATACACTTTTGTAAAGTGTATATAAGATCCTGAAATTTGGGAATTTGGGGAAATTCCCAATATGCCATTAACCATGTCCAAACATGGATGACTTAGAGCCAAATTAATGTTAAATGATTAAATTTAAATTAACATTTTGTATTATTCAACAATTATTGCCTACTATGTGAAGGCCATTGGGTACTGCAAAAGCAAACTTCTTGCCCTTATGCAGCAGGAGATATTTGAGGTATGAGGTACAACAAAAAGGTATAACAGAAGCAAGTGGAAGCATTAGAGAAAATTCATCTAAAAGTCCCAATGAAGTCATAGAAGAGTTATTATTTGAGCTGATATGTGACTGTATCAGTTTGCCAAATTGACAGGCTAGGGTAGAGTGTTTAAGTAGAAGGCTTAATGCATGAAAAGAACATGGATGACTTAGGGACCAGGAGTAGTTGAGGATTACTGAAATTTTAAGTAAAATTTTGCTGAGTTTTGTTTGTTTTGTTTTAAATCTTGGACTTCTTCCTATGGCTTTAATATTGAGGTTTTATATATATGTATATTTAGTGCAAAGCATACAATGGTAATGGATATGCCATTAACCATGTCCAATTGATAGACATTCATTTTGTTTCTATTTTTTTCACTATTCCAATGTTGTAATAAATACTGTATATACATTTTTGTGCACATAAGAATTTCTCTAAAATACCTCTTAGTGGTTTTGCTAAATGAAGGTAACATGCAATATTTTGATCAATTCTGCTAAATTTTTCCTAAAAAATGTTGTGCTAATTAACATTCCTGCCAACAGTATCTGAGAGTAGCCAATTCTCCACAACCTTGCTTGGGATATATAATTCTTTTTTAATTTTAAGATAGCACTTGTCTACCTAGTTGGATAAAAAGGGGCCACATGCTAACCTGCTAACTCAGGGAAGGCCTGCGTGGTAGCCTTGTAAACACAGAGACTTAAAGTTAACCAAGGAAGGGGGGGATTGAAGGGGGGGAGTCAATAGGGGAGAAAGAAGACATATGTAAAACTTTAGACAATAACAAAATAAAGTTAACCACAAAGAATGATCTGAAATTAAAACTTTTAAACTAAAAAGCAGTTTATGATGGGTAGTCATGTCCTAGGCCAGTATCTTCCCTGACAAAGGTCAATCTTTACCCTCACTGAGCCTATTATCTTGTTGCGTCTACAATAACATATCGCTGGAATGTCAAAGTCATTTTCCTTTTTCTGGACCCCCTCAAAGCACAGGCACTGCTCTGGGGAGACCACAAATCCCCTCATTGTTATTAATTGTTGAGTGTTAATTATTCTGCACCCACCTAAATAGAAGAAGTATATGTTTATCATTTTACTCTTTATCCACTCCCAGAGGTCCCCCCTCCTTGCTTTCTCCTGGCTCCCTAATTTATCACCAATGGATTTTTCATAACTCACATCTCCTCTTTTGATTGTAATGTATAAAACAAGGCGCAAAACTGCCATTGAGATCCTGCTCCACGGCATTGTGGACAGTTTGGCTCAAATAAACTCACAAAAACACTTCACAGGTTTGAATGTTCCTTACGTTGACACTAGATAACTCAGAGACAGATTAAGTGGTGAAGTTCACTGCTTTTATGGTCAGACTTGACTTCTATCTTGGTTTTGCCATTTGCTGTGTGCTAATTCAATCACTTTAAGTGATACTGTTGTGGCAAGTTTACACTTGGAGTCTATAGGAACATATTCACAGAGAGATTCAGTAGGCTTTTTATCATTATAACAGAACTGGGGACCAACAGCAGCCACTAAATAGTTCATTATGCCTCCTGAATGTGTCAGGGGTTGGGTTGATGCCACTTAAAAGTTTAACAGGGTCAAATTTCCCAAAAAGATAACGAGAACACACATCTGAAAGTATGGCATACTATTTCAACAGATTCTGTTGTGGAGAATAAGACAGAAAAAAAAAGGGGGTGTGCTATTTGTAATTAATCAGGCTGGGCATTTTTAACGTTTAGATTCCGACGGGTTAAAATCCACCACGTCCAGGGCTGGATCATGCAATATTCTGTCGGTTGGGGATTATCGACCGGCGGATTTCTGCCAGGAAACTACGGTCAAGAAGTGACTCTTGGAAGAAAAACACAAGCAGGTCCTCGTCCTTCCCAAGCATTGCGGGTACCGGCCGGAAGCAAGATGGCGCCTTCCCTCACCGACTGAGCCCCGAAACGTGAGTCACGCACGCAGGGGAGGCAGTAGGAGGGCATCTTTGCTGTTACCTAAGACGGTGAGCCGCGCAGCTTCACCGTCTCCAGGTCTCCATAGGGCTTCCCAACCCGCGCCACCAGAGGTTAACCTCCGGAAACAAGGTACCCTGGAGCGGAAGTGACGTAAGCGGAAATGGTCGCGTAGCTCCAGTCCCCGCCCCGCCCCCGTCTCTTCGCCCCGCCCCCAGCGGCGGCGGAGAGCAGAGCCAAGATGGCGGCGGAGGTGGAGTACGAGTCCGTGCTGTGTGTGAAGCCCGACGTCAGCGTCTACCGGATTCCGCCGCGGGCCTCCAATCGCGGTTACAGGTAGGAATCCGGGCACGACGGCCCGCGCGCACCCGGTCGGGAGCCACAGCGTCCTCCTCCGGTAGCACGCCGCTCGCCCAGGCCACTGCCCACCTCTGGGCTGTCACCTTGCTCGCTCCCCCATCGGGGCCGTTATCACCCTGTGCTCCCTCCCTCCCCCCGCTCTAGACTGTCATCGTCTTTGTTTACGCCGCTTAGAAACATCTTCCCATCCCGCACGCGCCCATCCCTCCTCCCCCGGGCCCGTCAGGGTTCCCCGTCTGCTCCCCATCACCCCCCTCCAGTGCCGCCTGCTCCTTCGCCAGTCACCCTCCGTTCGCTCTTCCCTGCGCCCTTCAGTTTGTCACCCTCATCCCCCCCACCCCCATTTCCAATCCTCCGTGCACACGTGTGGATAGCCATTGCGTTCTTGATCACTCCCTGTAAGATCCAGTTCATCTTTTGGGCAGTTGTCCGTCTTGCCACCAGATATCATCATCATCCACCGATTGGTTTTCCTTCCAGATCTCTTGCCGGTGGGCACAGGTTGTGACCTAGGTTTTCCAGTGGTTGTCCATTTTGTTGCTTCTCAGTATCTTTTGTTGATGTGTATACAGTATTTTCTATTATCATCCCCCACTTCCCCCCTTTTCCGCTTAACCTCTCCTCTGGCTTTTCCCTTCAGGGTTAACGCAGCGTTTTCTCCGCAGGGCTCACCAGCTGCCTTGCTATTCCGTGACCGTGGGTCTGAGGATGCTGTAGGAAGTTAGGAAGTGGAAAGAGGAGCGTGTAACTCAATGGGTTATGTGAGCCCTGGCACTTTAACAGCTGTATCATTTCTGGACCAAGCGCTTAACCTCTCCAAGCCTCAGTTTTCTCATCTGTAAAATAGAAAAGAAAAAAAGTTAGTGATAATAAAACCTGCTGTGGTTCTGTACCCCACAGAAGCTTTTGGAGGGTTGTCTGAAATTGTATAATGTGAAAGAATTTAGGCAACAGTAAAGCAGCATATAAATATGTGACACTGTTTTTGTTCCTCCCTCTATCATCATCATGATTTTCCTTTTGGCATTTATAGTTATCTTGGCTGAAAAGCTATCTCTCCCTATGCCCATTATTTTGCCTTTGCAGCAGAGGTTCATTCCTCTTGAATCAATATCTTTGTGCTTGCTGACCTGTGCACTAAATAAACACTGAGAGTTGTGCCCTTTTGGCAAAGAGACAGTCGTAATTTCAGTCTCTCTATTAGACCCCAATTGAGCATGACTAGCAGCCTGCACACTGTATGTGCGACTCACCTGAGACATCGCCCTCCTTGGGAAGCCCTCCTGGACCCTTCCATCCTGGCTCAGCTGCTGTCTGTGCTTCCATGTCACCTGTGCGTGTCTCTGTCACAGTGCTCCCGCTCCTGTACTGTAATGGATGGTGTGGTCTCCTGTATCTCCAGACTAGACTCTGAGCACTTGACCTTTTTTCATTTTACATTCTCAGGGCCTAGCACAGTGTTTGGCACATAGTGGGCGCTCTGTACATGTTGACTGTAAGAAGAAAGTAGTAGATTATATTTAATCACACACATTAGCATTGATTGAAAGGGTTAAATAAGGAAAATAGCTTAAGCCCATGGTCGGCAAACTGCTGCTCCGAGAGCCACATGCAGCTTTTTGGCTCCTTGTGTGTGGCTCTTCCTAAGCCTTAGGAGTACCCTAATTAAGTTAATAACAATGTACCTACCTATATAGTTTAAGTTTAAAAAATTTGGCTCTCAAAAGAAATTTCAATCGTTGTACTGTTGATATTTGGCTCTGTTGACTAATGAGTTTGCCGACCACTGGCTTAAGCCTTCCAACTTTAGGTGTTAAGATTTCCTAAAGGATGTGCTACACGTTGAAGTGGGGTTCCATTCCTTTTCTTCAAGCTTTTTAAAAGACCTACCTTCTCTCACTCCTCTGCATTCTGTCTTCATTTCCTAGTTTATCCACAGCCTTTATCCTTATGTCAGTTAAGTTAACTGCACTGAGCCATCAAAGCAAATTTTTTTTTAAGCAATTTCTTAATTTTCCTCTGTTAGTATAGTGAGTGAGTGGAGCAGAACTAAGTTTGAATTGTGATTCTTATTTATTTGCTGGGTTACCTTTGGCAAGTCACTTAACTCTTTTGAGCTTTAGTTTCCTCCTCAATAAAAAAAATGTAGAAGAATGACCCTGTGAGATCTTCTCACTTAATTTTCACAAGAGTGGGCATGATGACTGACGCATAATAAATGCTTGATAAGTATTATTTTTCTGTCTTGTTGCATAATCTTTTTCAGTTGTGTACCAGAATCCACTTTACACAATGAGCATGATTTATTCGCTAGGCTACCGTTAAAGGAAAAACTGTTTTTGTTTGTTTGTTTGTTTGTTTCATTTTTAGGAAGCAGGAGAAATCCTTTCTTTTAGTGATTAATAATATCAGAGGGAAGAAATGACTTTGATTTACCTAGTGTAAGCTGTTGCTTTCCATACTCTCACTGACCAGACTAATGGAAGGAAAATTTAGGTTGATGAGAAACTTTATAAATAATTAGAAAATGGTTTCTCAAGCTATAAATTGATTACTACCCTTCTCCCCAGCTAAATTAATATTAAATACTATAGTCTGTTTTAGTGTAATGGAAAGAATGCTGGACTTTGAACTTACACATTATTAATTACTGCGTTATTGTCCTTCCCTTCACTTAGAGAGCAAGAGACACAGAGAGAGATGGTAGGGTTTTCATGCCTATTTCATATGACTACTGTAAGGATTTAATAAAAGTTAAATGAAAATTTGTGAGGTCAGTTAGAATATTGTCAGAAAACCAGAAAATACAAGAACTCTTCAGGCTAGGTCTTGGGAGTGGGAGAGGAACTAAGGCTGAAGGCGGAAGGCTGAGGGAAACTGCTGCCATGAATATCCATTCACTTATTCAGAATTTGTTAAGTGTTGCTCACTAGACAGACACGATAAATAAGACAAGGAAACACTCCAAAGAAACACATCTAATAGGCTGGTTCCTAATATTTTCAATAACCATTTCACTATATCTAGCTCTTTGTAGTCTGGTAGAATAAGTAACAACTAAATTAAAAGTTAATAGCTGGAACCGCTTTAATCTGGATCAGATTCAGGTACTGAGGGTCTTTGAGAGCAGGGCATCAAGAGAGAAGGGTATGATAAGGATTTATCTTAAAAATCCTGTAAAATCTGTGCAAATTTTAATTTTCACATTCCTCCTTTCCACCTTTTGCTTATCCTGTTGTTAAACTCATTCTTGTTCAGATATTCCCTTTTGTTACCTTTCTAACCTGGAAGTATTAGTCCTGAGGTCCCAAAGGGAAGAGTTATTAATAACTTTTGCTTTGCCCTCCCTTTTCCACGCTCCTGGCAAAACAGAATCACAAATGCAATGTTTTTCAAAATTGGTCATGTTTAAATGTCTTAGATTGCATTCAAATTCATTTATAATACAAATGATAAATATTCAGTGTTTTCTCTTGTTTCATGAACATTTGTAATTCTAGCCCCCATGTCTTTTCTGAACTCTAGACTCATATATTCAGCTGTCTACTCTATATTGTCTCTTGAAAATCTAGACATCTCCAATTCAGCATATCCAAAACTCCTGACCATCTTCCCAGACATGCTCTACCTATATATAGTCTTCCTTGTGTCAGTTTTTTGGCAACTTCTTTGCTAAGGCTAAAAGCCTTGGAGTCATCCTTGACTTCTCTCTTTCTCTTCAATCTGTTCGAAAATCATGCTGCCATGATTTAAATACTAGTGTATCCAGAATCTAGCTACTTCTGCTACTATTTCTTTTTGGTCACCATCATGACTGTTCTAGATTGCTACAATAGTCTGCTAACTGATTCCTCCTGCTTCAGCACTCATAGCCTTACACCCTTTCTACACCCAGCAGAAAAGGAATTCTTTTAAAATAAAAGGGAGATCATGTCAGACCTCTGCTTAAAACCTGTAAAGGCTCCTCTTTCACTCAGAGTAAAAGCTAAAGTTCTACAATGGCCTATAAGGTCCTGCATGACTAAGCCTTCCCTTAGCTCTCCTACCTATCTCTTACTTTATTCTCACTACAGTGGCTGCTTTGGTTGAGGGCAAACATTCCAGGCAGGCTCCTACCTTAGCATCTTTGCTTTAACTGTTCCCTGTGCCTGGAATGCTTTGCCACCAGTTACCTGCATGGGTAGTTCTCATTTCCTTCACATTTTTGCTCACATTACACTTTGTTAATAAGGCTTACTCTGGCCCTAGCTGGTTTGGCTTAGTGGATAGAGCGTCGGCCTTCGGACTGAAGGGTCCCGGGTTCGATTCCGGTCAGAGTACATGCCTGGGTTGTGAGCCCTATCCCCAGTGGGGGGTGTGCAGGAGGCCTCTGATCAGTGATTCTCTCTCATCATTGATGTTTCTCTCTCTCTCTCTCTCTCTCTCTCCCTCTCCCCTTCTCTCTTCCTCTCTGAAATCAATAAAAATAAATTTTTTAAAAAAGGCCTACTCTGACCACCCCCTTGATTGTTGCAGCCTGTTTACTCTCCCACTACCCTCCCAATCCCCCTTTTCTTTCCTCTGTGTTTTGTTTTTACCTTTGTACTTATCTGAGATACTAGTTATTTTACTTATTATGTTAACTTTTTATTGTCTACTAGAGGCCCGATGCACGAAATTTGTGCAAGAGTAGGTCTTCACAGCCCCGGCTGCCAAGTGGCCCTGTGGCCCCACCTCCCGCCCACTGGTTCCGGAAGGTCATTTTGCCCTCTGGTCTAATTAACATATTAGCTCTTTATTACGTAGGATTTTCTGTTAGAATGTAAGCTTCACAAGGGCAGGAGTCTGTTTGCTGTAGTATCTCAAACACCTAGAATAGTGCCTGTAAATATTGGATTCAATGAAAGGTAATATTATTGGACTCCAGAATCCTCTAATAGTAACATTGTCTCCTGTTTGTTTTGGACTGTGTGCAACAGGAGACACATTATAGAGGGGATCATGAGCTATTGTTGATTATTTAATAAGTAGAATAAATAATCCAGGATAGGAAAATAGAAACATGGCAAATGATTCTGTGTAGGTTGTTACTATATTGAAAACATGGACCTGAGGCCTGAGGCTTCCCACTTTCCTATCATAGGGCATCTGACTGGAAATTAGACCAGCCTGATTGGACTGGTCGCCTCCGAATCACTTCAAAAGGGAAGATTGCTTATATCAAACTCGAGGACAAAGTTTCAGGTAATCTATGCTGGTAACCCTCTAACACTGGTTCTCAACCTTCCTAATGCCGCAACCCTTTAATACAGTTCCTCATGTTGTGGTGACCCCCAACCATAAAATTATTTTCGTTGCTACTTCATACTGTAATTTTGCTACTGTTATGAATTATAATGTAAATATCTGATATGCAGGATGTATTTTCATTATTACAAATTGAACATAATTAAAGCATAGTGATTAATCACAAAAACAATATGTAATTATATATGTGTTTTCCGATGGTCTTAGGCGACCCCTGTGAAAGGGTCATTCGACTCCCAAAGGGGTCGTGACCCACAGGTTGAGAACCGCTGCTCTAACATATTAAGGATATTGCTTTGATGTGCTTTTGTAAGTACCTTCAAGTTGGGGACTGAAACGGAAATACTTGTTAAATGGAGTTTTAGGTTTTTGCTTCCTTTGCTCAAAGAAGTCTTTTCTTACCCGCCAGGGGAACTTTTTGCTCAGGCACCAATAGAACAGCATCCTGGTATTGCTGTGGAGACAGTGACAGATTCCAGCCGCTACTTTGTAATCCGGATCCAGGATGGTACTGGTAAGGGATCTGAGATTTGGAATGGGATGATTAGGAAAATAGTTCATGCACTTCAGTGAAAATGTTTCCCGATTGCATTTATCTCACTTCAGTTTACTAATTTTTTCTCTCCCTTTTCTCTAACGTTAACTATAATTGCTAAAGGAGAAGGATTAACATATATTTGTAATAGATATGAACACAACTTCAAGATGTGGTAATTAATAGGTAGATGTAAATAAAATGTATATCTAACAAAAGAATGTACACATATTGCCCATTTGTTCTTTGTGATGGGTTTTGGTGGTACTATCTTAAATCACCTATATCTGGGGCAACCGTTACCTTTTCTCCTAGTCAATATCAGAGGTTGGCAAACTTTTTCTGTAAAGAGACAGATAGTAAATATTTTAGGTTTTGTGGCCCAACTAGTCACCATTGCAGCTACTCAATTCTACTGTTATAGTGTAAAAGCAGACATAGATTTTATGTAAACAAATTGGTGTAGCTGTGTTCCACTAAAAATTTATTTACAAAAACAAGCTATGGCAGCGTTTGGGCTAAGCGCAGTGGTTCTCAATCTTCCTAATGCTGCGACCCTTTAATATAGTTCCTCATGTTGTGGTGACCCCCAACCATAAAATTAGTTTCGTTGCTACTTCATGACTGTAATTTTGCTACTGTTATGAATCATAATGTAAATATCTGATATGCGGGATGTATTTTCAGGGGTCGCGACCCACAGGTTGAGAACCGCTGGTAGGGCCTTTATGTAGTTTATGGACCCCTGGTCAGGGAAAATGATTCATATTCCCAGACTTCGGGTAGGGTAACTGTTATATCTTCTTTGGGTAGAATTTGCCATAGGGACACTCCTATTCTGAGTATTCCTATCTTTTTCCCAGGACGTAGTGCTTTCATTGGCATTGGCTTCACAGATCGGGGTGATGCCTTCGACTTTAATGTCTCTTTGCAAGATCACTTCAAGTGAGTGAAGCTCGTCCTTACTTACCAGGTTAAATGGTTTGGGGAAAGCTGCTTTTCAGTTGAATGGGTACTATCTCCTTTACCTCCTGGTTTCTTTATTTGGTAGACTAGTTTATTGTGAATAGAAATTTTCTCATTCACTCTGTTTCTTTACATTATCTTCGTATCTGTTGTATCCTTTCCTTATAGCCAGGAATATGTTTTTGATTCCTTATACAATGGTTTGAGATGATGCTTTTGTTTATGCCTCTGGGGAATTAGCCGTTATTTTTTGGTGGCTGAGAGAGGCATGCAGTGACAACAGGGCTGCATGAAAGATATGTGGAGAGTTAAGTGCCAATTTTGCTGCTTCATGTAACTGACTTGTTTTGTGCTTATTGCACCATTCTTCAGCTCACCTGACTTTGGCGTAGCTGTAGTAGAAAGCACCCTGCACACTGCCAGCTTTCCTACTTCAAGGGCTGGTATTCCTCTGCTTTTCTGTCTCCGGTCTCTCTGACATTGTGGAAGGTCACTCAGTTAACAGGGGTGCAACCTGGAAGAACTGAAGAGTTAACACCCACTCAGGGGCAGCTCTCAAGCATGGGGGATGGGAATTGGTGGCCAATTGCTCTCCTTTGGAGGGACAAGTTTAATACATATTCTGTTTAGTTCCGCAGTGGTTTTGAGCCCCAGTTCTCCTCTTTCTTCTTTTTTCTTTTTTCTTTCTCAACTCTTCATGTTCCTCACTTTGCTTTCTGGAATCCTGTTTTACATAAATTAGCTTCACTCATATCTGTGTGTCAAACTCTGCTGTCAGGGAATCCAAATTAAGATGACTTACTCTTTTGCTGAAGGTGGGTAAAGCAGGAATCTGAGATTTCCAAAGAATCTCAGGAAATGGACACACGCCCCAAGCTGGATCTGGGCTTCAAGGAAGGACAGACCATCAAGTTGAGTATTGGGGTGAGTATGGCTTTTTTCTTTCCTTTCTATATTTTCATAAGCCTATGACTTCTCCTTTTTTCTCTCGCTTTCCCTCTTTTTTCTTTCATAGAATATTACAACCAAGAAAGGAGCCACTTCTAAGCCCAAGACTGCAGGCACTGGAGGCCTAAGCTTACTCCCACCCCCACCTGGAGGCAAAGTCACTATTCCCCCACCATCCTCCTCAGTTGCCATCAGCAATCATGTCACTCCACCACCCATTCCAAAATCTAACCATGGAGGTAGTGATGCAGGTAAATCTCTCTAATACTTTAAACACACACACACACACACACACATTTATATATATATTTCATTGATTTTAGAGAGGGAGAGAGAGATAGAAACATCAATGATGAGAGAGAATCATTGATCGGCTGCCTCCTGCACTTCCTCTATTGGGGATCCAACCCATAACCCGCGAGTGTGCCCTGACCGGGAATTGAACTGTAACCTCTTGGTTCATAGGACAAGGCTCAACTGCTGAGCCACACCGGCTGGGCTCTCTAATACCTTTCACTTTCAGAAATCATACATTAGGTTGTAACTGGATAACACCTGTTTGCCAAGGAGAGTGCTGATGTTTTTTCTATTAAATGGCACTTGGTACAGAAAAGGTAATTCAGGCAGCCTCTAGCAAGGTATCAAAGCTTTTCCAGTGAACTGAGATAATGGTATCTGGTAGGTTCTTTACAGAAAATGGGTATATAGCCCAGCTGGTGTGGCTCAGTGGTTGAGCAGATCAGTGAACCAGGAGGTCATGGTTCGATTCCAGGTCAGGTCACATGCCTGGGTTGTCGTCTCGAACCCCAGTAGCCGGGAGTGCAGGAGGCAGCCGATCAATGATTCTCTCTCATCATTGATGTTTCTATTTCTCCCTTCCTCTCTGAAATCAATAAAAATATATTAAAAAAGAAAAAGGGTGGATATTAAAAAGACTATTTCCTTCATTGTGCCTCGGTTAGATTGGAGTAGGCCTAAGAGTCAGATGGACCCAGTTTTCAGTCATGGCTCTGCTACTTTATATCTGAATGTGCTTGGTAACATTACTTAAGTTCTTTGAGTTTCAGTCTCCTTCTCTACAAAATGGAGAAGTAAACTACCCCAGGACTGTGAACATTAAATGATGGACTGCACCTAGCACAGTATTTGGAACATAGTAGCCATTCAGTAAATGTTATTTCTTAATCCTTTCCATTTCTTCAGGAGGGCAGTTGGGAGGAGATGAGACATCTTGGTTTGTGAATGCATTTTTGTTCTTCTTTACTATCTGGTGGGAAAAAGAATAGATATAGTTATTTACTTTTGAAGAATGAGAACATTAGAGCTCAGAAAGTAATTTTCCTAAGACTAGCGAACCAGATATTACAATCTGTGAGTTAAAAAAGTGTCACCAGAAGGCTAGGGATAATATCTAAGATTAAACTTTTTTTTTTAAGTTAATCTTAAAAAATTATTTTTTCCCTTTATTGATTTTTAGAATGAGAGGAAGGGAGAGGGAGAGAGAAAGGGAGAAACATAGATGAGAGAGAGAGAGAGAGAGGGAGGGGAGGGGAAGGGAGGGGAGGAGAGGAGAGGAGAGGAGAGGAGAGGAGAGGACATCGATCAGTTGTCTCCTGTATGTACCTCGAACGGGGATCAAACCCACAACCTGGATATGTACCCTGACCAGGAATCAAACCCATGACCTTCCTGTGTACAGGATGACACTCCAACCCACTGAACCACACCAGGGCCAGGGCTTAAATGAAACTTTATCTTGAGATTGTAGAGTCACATACAATTGTAAAAAGAATGCAAAGAAATCCCTTATACCTGTTACTCAGTTTCCTTTAATGGTAACATTTTGCAAAACTATAATATCACAACTAGGAAATTGACATTGATACCACCTACCAATCTTACTTCTGATTTCACCAGTTTTATGTGTTCTCTTTTGTGTGTATTTATTCTGTGCACTTTTATTGTGTGTAGGTTTCTGGATCCACCACCATGGTCAATTCTATCGCTCCAAGGATCCTTTGTGTCATTCTTTTATAAGCACACCTTCCTCTTAGCCTTTTCTCTCCCTCATCCTCACACTCTCCCCAGTCTCTAACCCGTGGCAATTACTAATCTGTTCTGCATCTCTGTAATTTTTTCACTTCAGGAATGTTTTATAAATGGAATCATATATAACATTTTGGGTTGGCTTTCTTCACTCAGCATAAATTCCCTTGGGATTCATCCAAATTGTTGCGAATATCAATAGTTTCTTCCTATTTATTGCTGAGTAGTACTCACGGTGTGGATGTACCACAGTCTGTTTAACCATCACCCATGTAAAGAAATCTGGGTTGTTTTCAGTTTTTGGCTATTATAAAGCTGCTGTGTATAGATTGTGTGAACATAAGCTTTCATTTCTAAGATTTATGTTATGTTTCTCCTTTTCTTTTCTTACCTTGTATTCAGATATCCTTTTAGATTTGGACTCTCCTGCTCCTGTCCCCACACCAGCACCAGCACCAGCACCAGGTCCAGTTTCTGCAAGCAGTGACTTGTGGGGAGACTTTAGCACTGCATCCAGGTATGAGCATAGTGAAACCAACATACTCTCAGTCAGGTATGGATGGTATGTACAGTCAGATGAAATCTTTGATCTGGGAAAATGGCATTTGTAGGTCATAGAGAGTCTTTGGCAGGAATTCTAGGTAAGGAAGTATTGGAGTGCTGAAGTGGTGGAATAAAACTGTGGAATGAAGTTTGAGTGGGATATTTTAGGCCTTGGTAAGTAGGATTGCCTTGAAATATACTTTCAAAAATTCTGGGCAGCGATTTCTTTGAAACTGTTAAGTAAACAATGGAACAGCTATCCTAATATTATGCCTTTGGCTTTCTCTCTGTTTTGTCTTGCAGCTCTGTTTCAAACCAGGCACCACAGCCATCCAACTGGGTCCAGTTCTGAATAGCATTGGCAGGATATTAAGGACAGACTTGAAGAATAAAATGACCTTGAGGGCACCAATCTTGAGGGAAGTTAGGAATCTCTTCTTTCCCCAGAACCAAAATTACTGGACAATCTTTTTCATAGCTTCTCCATTGCGTTCAGGCTGGTTTATGTCACTCCCCTATGTTGTTATTTGTACAGCCAAGAAAGTATCTCTTATCTCCTCTTCACTATCAAGGCAGGGGAATAGTAGGTCTTATACTGTGGCTGGCTATGAAGGGCTCCAAGGCCAGGGTTTCTGAGGGGGAAATGACCTTTAACATCTGCAACATTTTTCTCCATCTTTTAAACGCTTAAACATATTTCAGAATCATCTCATGACCCTTGTGCGCCTCTTCGTGAAGCCCTATTTAGCAATTTCAGGGGAGACTTCCTTTTCCACTTACCCAAGACTCTGAAAATAGACAGAATGACCTCAGTGTTTACAAATACAGAATTTTGATAGAGATAGGAATGAAGAAAAACCTGTGTCTTGAGTCTCTGCTATCTATCCTCCAGGTTTATCCTATTCAGTGAACATCCAGTGCTGGATGAAGTTTCATCACCCTCTCATGTGTTTACATGTCTCTTCCTATGATAAGAGGGTTGTGTTGGTGGCATCTCCACTATTCTTTTTAAAAAAAATATATATTTTATGATTTTTTTTTTTTTTTAGAGAGGGAGAAGGGTAGAGAAATAGAAACATTGATGAGAGAGAAACATCATTGATCGGCTGCCTTTTGTGGGCAGGGTATCGAGCCCACAACCCAGGCATGTGCCCTGACCGGGAATTGAACTGGTGGCCTCTTGGTTCCTGGCTTAATGCTCAACTGCTGAGCTGCACCAGCCAGGCTCCACTGTTCTTTTGTTTGTTGAATAGCACAACATCTTTGATCAGTGGGTGTCTCTTGGATAAAAGAGGTTCAATTGTGTTCCAAGTTATATTCTAGAGAAGTGTTTACAGTAAGTTCTTGGTTAACGATGTCGATAGGTTCTGCGACTTTAAGCCAAACCACTTATAACAAAACCAGTTTGACCATAGGCTAATTGATATAAACAAGAACTAAGTTCCTACAGCGTCTCATCAACAGCATAAAAAGACGTTATTAAAGGACCTGCTGTACATCCTTGCAGCTCCATCTAATTGCTGCATTATGACCTAAACTTGAGGGGTTAGAGTTTTTAATCTGATTTGTAGAGCAGAGAGGTTGAAAACATAACTCTTGTTCAGTACCCACATTGCCTTGCTGCCTGGGTATCTGGCCTGTTTCCATAAACTTTGTTTCAACCCATCTAGCTCTTCCATAGAAGAGCAGCTATTACATGTATCACCACTTAAGAAGGAAGCTGGAGAGTCACCACTTTAGTTATGATAGCTTTTGCCCAAATGATGGCTGTGATGCCCATTACTCAGGGTATCTCAAAGGCAAGTTGCTCTCTCACCACTTTCCTTTCCCTCTGCCCCACCGTTCCTTTTACAATGCTGTGAAGAGCGTTCCCTTTCCTAGATGATTGGGCGCTATCTATTTTGTTTGTTCATAGACACTTTTGAGGATGAAATGAAAAGATATTTCTTCCCTTAGTCCCTATTTGGATGTGTATACTCTGGCTGAAGGGAGGGAGTCCTTATGTTTATTTTCAAAATACATTTTCTCTTGGATTTCCTTCATGACTCCTTTTAACTTTGGGTCCATTTCTTTTCATTGCCTCCCCTTCCAGGCAGCTCTCTTCTTACAGAGCTGTGGCAGGGCATTTTTTAAATTCCATAGAAAACACTAAAAGGAAAGTCTATAGAATCACTAGTGATTATTAGGAACCTATTTTCTCAATCTTCCTCCATGTTGTGTTCTTTGTATTCTTAAGATGATAATATATTATGTATTTGAATTGCTGAAAAGTTGATAATGAAGTTTTAAGATATATGTATATAAAGCATATGCTGTATTGGTGCAATAATGGTAATTAAAATATGGAAAAAGGTGGTGTCTCTTTTATCTTTTAACTAGTGGCCCGGTGCACGAGATTTGTGTACATTAAAAGGGGATTAATTAGAGGAAATATTTTAATACTGCTATTTGCCCTTTCTCTATAATAGAAGTGTCAGAGATGAAAGAAAATTAGTAAAATGTATATGAAACGCTGCCCACCCACGTGTGCCTCAAAATCGCGCAAGACCCAGACCCGGCCGCCCCCCACCCATTGGGCTAGATCCAGACCCGGCCGGTCCCACCCTTGTCAAGCCCCCGGCAAGGGGCGCAGCCTCAGGTCCCCTGGCCCGGTGCCAGGGTGGAGGGCGTGGCCTGAGGTCCCCCAGCCCAGCCCAGGGCAGGGAGCGTGCCTTGAGGTCCTGCGTCAAGCCCTGCCAGGCAGGGGGCGAAGCCTCAGGTCCCCTGGCCTGGTGCCATGGCGGGGGGCGTGGCCTCAGGTACCCTGGCCTGGCGCCAGGGCCAGGGGCTTGGCCTGAGGTCCCCCGTCAAGCCCCACGGGGGTGGGAGGGGGCGTAGCTTCAGATCCCTGCTGATTGCTCATTAAGGCTTGTTACGGGAACTTGGCTTCCGCTGTGGGTGCAGCCATCTTGTGTTACAGAACCCCACCTCCGCTGTGGGCACCGCCATCTTTGTGTTGGAGCAACAGTCAATTTGCATATTCCCTCTTTATTATATAGGACTTGCCTATTTCATTGCCCTTTTTGTTTAATGCAATATGAATGGGGTAGTAGGTAATAAAAGGACATTTTATAGCTATTATTCTTTTTCAATAAATAGGGACTCTTAAGGAATTGAGGCTATACCTCTGTTCATGGTTCTAAACCCACAGAACACTCCTGATAGAGATTCATTATCTATTTGCTAGTACTGTTCATTTCATTTGCTTCTAGGCCACCTCAGAACTATAATCAACATAAATGAAAGGAATCAGTGTAAAAGATAGAACTAAAGTGAGTCATAGACTTTGGCAGCTAGAGAATCTTGAAGTTCTCATTCAGTGATTATTACAGGAGATGAATCACAATGATTTGGGTGCTTGCCTCTTTATTTTTTTTTTGTAAAGTAACAGAGATTCTGTAAAGATTTGATCTCTAAGGGGTAGGGGTTTGATGGCTTCCCTACCATGACCTTTCTTACTGAGGTTGTGAGGCCATTGATAGAACTGTATCCTAATCTTCAGATTCTGTTTGGGGAAAAATGTAGACAGTTTTTTAGCCCCACCCCCTCAGTTACACATTGACATCTGCCTTCATGGTTGAAATGTGAACCTTGATTGCTCCTCACTTCCTCCATTCTGATAACCTTCTAGGTAGTCACTTGCCTGTAGCTTTCTTAGCTCCAGTTCAGTATACATATTGTTACCAGGATAATCTTCCTAAAACCAAGCCCTACTCATGTCCTTTCCTCCCGGCTCATTGCCTTTAATGATTTTCCTTTGTTCACAGAATAAAGTTCAAATACCATTTCATCCTCCACTCTCAGTTTTCCCTTTCACGCACAATACACTCCAATGAAACAGGGTACTAGTCATTCTTCAAATGCCATCAGCACCATGAGCTTGCTAAACATTCCCTCTGCCTAAAATACCTTTCCCTCTACACCTGCCTGTTGAAATTCTTCCTATCCTCCCGCTCTGAAAGATGGTCTCCCTTTTCTTTGAGTTGCTGTTGAAGTTCATTTCCTTATTAGTTTGTAAGGTCTGTGAGTATAAGGACTATGTATTCATTTTTACCTACTTACTGTACTTCCCATATGCCTTTCTAGATAGTAGCTGCTCATTAACTACTTATTGGATTAACAGTGATTTCAGAGAAGAGGGACTAGAAATCAGTAAGTTGGGTATTTTCCTTTTGCTCATTCTCATGTGGGTTGTTCCTAGCTACATGACAAGCATTCCTCATATGTTTTGTCAAAGTTGCAGAAAATCTCATTTATTTGCCCCACAGTCCATTAATATTTGAGATCAAGGAAGCCGTGGAGAAGACAGATTTTACTTTGGCGCATAGACCCTACGGCCTGGGAAAAGGAAAATTGGATACCATGTAGCATGGCTGCTGATAAATTTGGTAGCTTACTGTCTCCTTTTAATGATCACAACTGGCTAAAGATTGCATTGCACTTTATGTTCTGGTTATTTTCTAGTTTCTAAAGAAGTCATTTCTGTCATTGCCTCTTTTTTTTTTTTTAAATATATTTTATTGATTTTTTACAGAGAGGAAGGGAGAGAGATAGAGAGTTAGAAACATCGATGAGAGAGAAACATCGACCAGCTGCCTCCTGCACATCTCCCACTGGGGATGTGCCCGCAACCCAGGTACATGCCCTTGACCGGAATCGAACCCGGGACCTTTCAATCCGCAGGCCGACGCTCTATCCACTGAGCCAAACCGGTTTCGGCTGTCATTGCCTCTTAAGTGTACTGGCACATGAAAATAACATGGCTTGTGACTATAGAACTCAAACTCAAGTATTCTCCATCAATCACATATTTTGTAATGAGAAAGAAAGGAAAAAGGGTTACCTTTATTTGCACAGGGTTACCTTAACCCTGGGGGATGTATGGCTTGTTATGATTTTCACAGAAATTTTTAAAATGAATTTAGCCTAAAAAAAAAAAAGGAAAAAAAAAGAATTTAGCCTTAAATAGTAGAAAGTGTTTTTTAAAAAATGTTTTTATTCTTTCCCACTCTTTCTCTCTTTCTTTCTTTCTCTTTCTTTCTTTCTCTCTCTCTCTCTCTCTCTCTCTCTCTCTCTCTCTCTCTCTCTCTCTCTCTCTCTCTCCTTCCCTCCCTCCCTTTCTTCCTTCCTTCCTGGAAGGGAAAGAAATAGAGAGATAAAAACATGAATGAGAGATGCCCGTGCCAAGTTGGCTCAGTGGATAGAGTGTTGGTCTGCGGACTCAAGGGTCCCAGGTTCAATTCCAGTCAATGACACATGCCCAGGTTGTGGGCTTAATCCCCAGTAGGGGGCATGCAGGAGACAACTGATCAATTATTCTCTCTCATCGTTGATGTAGTTTTATCTCTCCCTCTCCTTTCCTCTCTGAAATAAATTAAAAAATAAATAAATAAGACCGCTTAAAAAACAAAACATCAATGAGAGGGGAACATCAAGCCCACAACCCGGGTATGTGACCTGACTGGGAATTGAACCAGTGACCTCTTGGTTCCTGGGTCAGCGTTCAACCGCTGAGCCACACCAGCTGGGCAGGAAGTGGTTTTTTTTAAAAAATATATATTTTTATTGATTTCAGAGAGGAAGCGAGAGGGAGAGAGAGATAGAAACATCAATGAGGAGAGAGAATCATTGATTGGCTGCCTCTTGCATGCCCCGCACTGCGGATTGAGCCCGCAACCCGGGCATGTGCCCTGACTGGGAACCGAACAATGATCTCCTGGTTCATAGGTTGACATTCAACCACTGAGCTATGCCAGCTGGGCAGGAAGTGTTGTTTTTATTAAATTTTAAATTACAGTTGACATACAATATTATATTACTTTCAGGTGTACAACACTGTGATTAGTCATTTATGTAACTTACAGAGATTACCCTGATAAATCTCGCACCCATCTGACACCATATGTAGTTATTACAACATTATTGAATATATTCCCTATGCTGTACTTCACATCCCCATGACTATTCTGTAACTACCAATTTGTACTTAATCCCTTCACTGTTTTCACCCATTTGCCCAACCTGCTGAACCCCCCCGTATAACAATTGTCAAAATGTTCTCTGTATCTATGAGTCTGTTCTGCTTGTCTGTTTATTTTGTTTTTTAGATTCCACATATAAGGTTTTCACAGCAATTTAATGGTCTGGAATTATTTTAAAAATTTGCAAGAATTGATATTTTAAGCCCTTTTGAGAGCTATCAAGATATAGGGATGGTATTTTTTTTTAAAAAGCTTTGGCATACTTGAATTGCCTACATCTGAACCAGGAGTAAAATAATTGTCCGTGTGACCTCGTGTTTTGTTCTGTCAATCTAAGGATAGTGTCACCCCCTAAATTAAACACCATAATGCATTAAGATCTATTATAGATTTTTAAAAACTTGCTTTTTAATATGATGGGTGCTCTGCCACTAAACCTGTAATAGAAATGTCATTGAAGCTCTTTCTGTGAATGTTTTATCTGACTGCATGTCATCAGGAGGCCACTAGAGGGCGTGCTCCTTGTAGCAACTAGCATAACTAGAAGCTACTGCTCATTCTTCCTGCAGACGGGAAGCATTTTAAAAAGACATAAAGATGCTGAACCGGTTTGGCTCAGTGGATAGAGCGTCGGCTTGCGGACTCAAGGGTCCTGGGTTCGATTCCGGTCAAGGGCATGTACCTTGGTTGCGGGCACATCCCCAGTGGGGAGTGTGCAGGAGGCGGCTGATCGATGTTTCTAACTCTCTATCCCTCTCCCTTCCTCTCTGTGAAAAACCAATAAAATATATTTTAAAAAAAAATGGAGTCACTTTAAAAAAAAATAAAATAAAAAGACATAAAGGAAGACTGCCAAGGGACATTTTGTCTATGGAATCTAAATATGCATCTGAGCCAAAGTTTGTTGGGAATGTGAAACAAGTTGTTTAGGTGGGTAGAAAATGAAGCACAGAATACTTTCTTTAGATTTAATACTTAAATAAATATTTGAATGGGGATTATACTTATTAATGACCACCAAGCCCCACCAAACTAGATGATAAACGGTCTGTAAAGAATAATGATTATGAGCATGGATTTTGGAGGAGGCAGATTGCCTTGGTACAAAATTTTGCTCTGCTACTTATTGTCTTTTTTAAAAAAATTGATTTTAGAGGGAGAGAGAGAGAGAGAAACAGCAATCGGTTGCCTCCCTGATTGCCTCCTTCGGGAATTGAACTGCAACCTGGGTATGTGTCCTGACTAGGAATAGAACCTGTGACCCTTCATTGCACATGACAACGCTCCAACCAATTAAGCCACACCAGCCAGGGCACTTATTGTCTTTTTGACCTTGGATAAGTTATTTAAAAGTTGTTTGCCTCAGTTTCCTCACATGCAAAATGAGGATAATAGTTTCTACTTTATAAGGTTATTGTGACAAATAAGTTAAAATTTTAAAGTGCATAGACCAGGACTTAACATATGGTAACCTCTATGTCAGTGCTATTACTACTGCTACTTGGCTCAGTATCCTAATTCTGGCCATCAGGATATGTAATAAGATGGCAAATATAAGGGCAAAATGATGAGAGTTTCATTTCCTTTAAAAAATATTTAATTTTTACTGAGATATACCTGACATATAACAATATATCCATTTGGTGTACGACATGCTGATTTGATACAGTTATATATTGCAATCATTACCACCATAGTGTTAGCTAATATGGCATCACATAATTCTTTCTTTTCTGTGGTGGGAACAGCTAATTAAGATCTAGTCTGTTAACAACTTTGAAGTTTATAATACAGTATTGTTGTCTATAAAGTCTATGGTGTTCATTCATCAGATCTCCAAGACTTATGTATCTACTGGTTACAGTTCACATCTCCCAAATTCTGTCACTGTTCCTATGAATTTGGCTTTTTTAGATTTCACATATAAGTGAGATTATATAGTATTTGTCTTTCTTATCTCACTTAACATAATCCCAAGAAGTCCATCCATGTTGCAAATGGCAGTATTTCCATTTTTCTCATGGCTGAATGATACTCTTGTATACATATTCCATATCTTTATTCATTCATTGTACAGGGACACTGGTTGTTTCCCTATCTTGACTATTGTGAATAATACTGAAGTAAACATGGGAGTGCACATACCTCTTTCATATCCTTTTTTCATTTCTTTGGATATATATCCAGAAGTGGAATTTCAGATTATGTTATAGTTTTATTTTTAAATTTTTGAGGAACCTCTATATTGTTTTTCATAGTTGCTGTACCAGCGTGTATTCTCACCAACAGTGCACAAGTGTTCCCTTTTTCCACATCCTTGCCAACACTTATTATCTCTTGTCTTCTTCATGATAGCCATTCTAACAGGTGTGAGGTGATGTCTCGTGGCTTTGATTTGAATTTTTGACTACTGATTTTGAGCATCTTTTCATGTGGATGGGCCGGAAACACCACTCCTTCCTGTCATTCTGGGACCCAACTCAGTTCTCAGAATGGAGTTCCTTTCTTCCTCTCTTCTTCTGGGACTCTAATGATGTGTAGATTATTTATTTTAGTGGTTTCCCATAAATCCTGTAGACTTTCCCCCCTCTCTCTTTTTTTTTTTAAATATATTTTATTGATTTTTTACAGAGAGGAAGGGAGAGAGATAGAGAGTTAGAAACATCGATGAGAGAGAAACATCGATCAGCTGCCTCCTGCACATCTCCTTTTGGGGATGTGCCCGCAACCCAGGTACATGCCCTTGACCGGAATCAAACCTGGGACCTTTCAGTCTGCAGGCCGATGCTCTATCCACTGAGCCAAACCGGTTTCGGCTCCCCCCTCTCTTTTCATTCTTTTTTCTTTTTGCTCCCCTGATTGGATAATCTCAATTGATCTGTATTATAGATAATTGATTCTGTTTTCTGCTTGGCTAAATCTGTTATTGAAGCTCTCTACTGAATTATTCAGTCATTGTATTATTCAGCTCCGAAATTTCTGTATGGTTCTCTTTTTATGTTCTATCTTTTTGTTGAACTTCATTTTTTTTCTTGTATTGTTTTTCTGATATCATTAAATTGTTTACCTGTGTTTTCTTGTATATCTCTGAGCATGTTTAGAACAATTATTTTGAAGTCTTTGTCAGGTAATTCCTGGTCTCCATTTCTTTGGGGCCAGTTATTGGAGGTTTGCTGCATTCCTTTATTACTTTATTTATTTTTGTTAGAACAACTCAACAAAATAAAATTTTCATTTATTGTTGGGCAACACTATTTCACACATACATCAAACAGGCCCAAAGTGAACAGCAACTTCATAGACAAAAAAAAAAAGAAACCTTTTTCTCTTTGGCCTTTTTAACCATTTCATACAAACCAACTACTTATAGTACAGCTAAGTACATACACAAAAAGTTACTGGGATGCTCGGAATAACATTGTTTGTTGTTGTTTTGCTTTATTTACAAGTTTTTTTTCTCCTTTGAGATTATTATGAACATAGGCACACCACAAGTAACGTCAGAAGTAGGACAGAGAACACTCCAAGGGCTGGTTTGGTCATCCCAAGATCATAGAAAATGGCTGACCCCATTTTTTATATGTACAAAAATATAAAATGTAAATAAAAAATACAAACAAATTTTCCTTTTTAAAATACTTTTAAGAAAAAGAGCAGAGCCCAGCTGGTGTGGCTCAGTGGTTGAGTGTAGACCTATGATCCTAAAGGTCATGGTTCAATTGCTGGTGAGGGCACATGCCTGGGTTGCAGGCTCAGTCCCCATTGTGGGGCATGTAGGAGGCAGCTGATCAATGATTCTCTCTCATCATTTATGTTTCTATCTCTCTATCCCTCTCCCATCCTCTCTGAAATCAATTAAAAAATGAGCACCGGTTTGGCTCAGTGGATAGAGCGTCGGCCTGCGGACTGAGGGGTCTCAGGTTCAATTCCGGTCAAGGGCATGTACCTTGGTTGCGGGCACATCCCCGGTAGGACATGTGCAGGAGGCAGCTGATCAATGTTTCTCTCTCATCGATGTTTCTAGCTCTCTATCTCTCTCCCTTCCTCTCTTTAAAAAATCAATAAAATGTATTTTTTAAAAAAAGATTGTTAAAAAAATGTATTAGAGAAAAGGAAAGGAAAGAAAAGAGAAGGAAAGGAAAGGAAAGGGAAGGGAAGGAAAAGGAAAAGGAAAAGGAAAAGGAAAAGGAAAAGGAAAGAAAAAGAGCAGGACCTTGGAAGTTTTGGTTCTTTTTTCCTCCTGCTGCAAATTCACGTGGTTTTGGTTGGGTGGTGGAGAGTAGGTGTCATCTGCAGGTGGTGTTGCCCAAGGTGGGTGGGCAGGCACGTGGGAGTCTCTACCCGAAGGTGACCACATTTACATTCTGAAATGGAAAGTGGAAGGTGAGTAGGTCATGGAGACCTTTTATTTTAAAAAAATGTTTAACTTTTCCTTTTTTGCTGTCTGGTCATCCTCTTTGGTCTTCTGCTTCTTGGTGTCAACATCCTCCTCCTCCTCATCTTCAGCTGCCTCAGCCTCCTCATCTTCATCTCCATCCTCTTCCTCACCATCACCTTCCTTCTCCTCCTCCTCCTCCCCTCCTTCTTCCTCCTCTTCATCTACCTTATTGTCAGTCTCCTGCTCCCCATTTTCCTCATTAGCATTCCCATTCGCAGGTGTATCTTCCATTTTCAGCCTCCTCCAACTTCCTTCTCCTTTAAGACCTTGGGGTGACCTCGGAGCTGGTGTCCTCAGCCATGTCTGACATGTGGGGCACATCAGTGATTGATGCAGCAGATTTTCTTTAAAAAAGCGAGAGTTGGAGGACTCTGGTGAAGAAGCTCCCAGAGTGGCTACAGCGAGCAGAGAGGCAGCCACAGGAACAATGCAAAGATGGCTTTTCTGAGCAGCCAGTGGTGTATTCCTTTAAATGTTCCCCTGGTTCTGTACGATTCCTGTAGTTAGAGCATAGCTGTCTGAGTATTTGAGGAAGCAGTCACCTCTTTCAGATTGATGACTGACTGATAAAGGAACACTTTCTAGCTGGATAGTTCCCTCTTGGTGCTGTGCAATGCTGGCTTGGGGGTGGCATGATGCGGGCTAATGAAGCTGTCTTCCTTCTTTTCTTGTATGGTTGTTCTTGGCTTTTTGTTTTATTGTGTTGCTGTAGTTTTTTTAAATGGGCCCCAGAGCTGTTCTAGAGCTGTTTTTTATTCATGGATAGCTGTCTAATTGTTGCTCTTTCGTGGGACAGAGACCGTGGTCTCCTAGGCCACTATTTTGGTGACACTGAGAGATAATTTATTCAATTCCGTTATATTTGATGGAACATATATTCCTTGTACTTTCCTACTGGCCTTTCTTTTCTAATCTTGAACCCAGGGAGAGGTAATACGGATGGGTGGTCTCTTTCTAGTTTCACTCTCACTTAATTTACAGTTTTACAAGAATTCTGAATTAGGCAGAGGTCTGTTTCAACTCCTTGCTTAGTGCTTGTCCGAGGCCTTGTTTTATCCCCCTTATGTGCATTTGAATCCAATTCGTTAGCCATGATTGAATCTCCCACTCAGATGAGATGACTCAGTTCGTGATTGCTAACTCAGGTTGCATTTTCACCTCTTGTCCCATGTTCATGTTTTCTGAATCTGTGAGGATCCAATAGCAAGCTAAGAGCATTTCTCAAGAACAGAACGGTTGCTTGCTGAAAGGGCATGGCTTGCTCTGAAAAACTGTGGAGGCCTCCTTTGGATTGTACTACGAGGCTTTGCCTTTGACTCCAGGCAGCATCGATTTGCCTGGAGGGTTCAAGCTCCGCAGGTTTATTCAGGATCACCTGGGCAGCCCTTTCTTTATGTCACTAAGTCCTGGAATGTTTTCAGTTTTCTAGTAACTAATGTGTTTGAACACCCAAATGTGAAATAGGTTGCCTTTAAAACCCAAAGAGACATATGATAACTTGCTATTTTGGAGGGGATATTTTTTTATTATTAAAAAAACAACAACACTTCTCTAAAGGTGTGAACAAACACTCCACTCAATGTATCCTGCAATTATCACTTTTATGGACATAACATAACACTGCTCTAAGTGTAGTAGTACAGAGGAGCCTATCCAACGCCCAGAAAGAACCCTCTTTTCAAGGTATCTTGAAAGTATGTATCACTTTAATAAACATCTTTAGTTTTTGTTCAGGCAAAAACTTAGAAAAGCGCTTTAAGGCAATTTTCTAAATGTGTTGCACAAGTAGTATCACTTTTCTTCTGGAGGGGATATTTAAATGCCCTAGCTATCCATCAGAATCACCTGGAGGGGATATTTAATTGCCCTAGCTATCCATCAGAATCACCTGGAGGGCTTGTTTAAGCACAGATTTCTGAGCTCCCCCCTCCCCCAATTTCTGATTCTGTTGGTCTAGGGTAGGGCCGAAGAATTTGCATTTCTAACAACTTCCCAGGTGATGCTCATGCTGCTAGTTTGGGGACCACTTAAAGAACCAGCACCTTGACCACTCTTAGTAAGGCATTTCAGGTACCAGATTGTCCTGCTCTCCTCATGGTGTCTGTATGACATCATCTATGGGAAGAACCAGCATGATATCCTGTGAAATGGTGAGGTGTTTAAGTTCTCTGGAGCACAAATGGTAGAGTTATGTAGGTCTAAGACAAAATGGTAAAGGTATGCTATTTTTTCTGATAGGAGAAAAAGCAAATTGATTCTGATTTTTCTTGATTATTTGTGAAATGGAAGAAAAGATATCCACCATGTTAATACTATATACTAAGGATCAAGGATTACTTTCATTTGCTCTAGACCTCACATTTGGAATATCAGCTAAAATTGGAGTCACCACCTGACTAAATTAATGATAATTTCCTGCCATTCTTTTTTTTAATTGTTTTATTGCTTAAAGTATTACAAAGAGTATTATATATGTCTCCTTTTTTTTCCTTCCCTTGACCCTCCCCTAGCCTCCCATGCCCCCCAGTGTCTTGTGTCCATTGGTTATACTTGTATGCATGCATACAAGTCCTTTGGTTGATCTCTTACCCCTCCCCCACCCCCAACCCTCCCCAGCCTTCCCGCTGTAGTTTGACAGTCTGTTTGATGCTGCTCTGCCTCTGTATCTATTTTTGCTCATCAGTTTATAATGGTCTTAATTATCCATAAATGAGTGAGGTCATGTGGTATTTTTCTTTCTTGACTGGCTTATTTCACTTAGCATAATGCTCTCCAGTTCCATCCATGCTGTCGCAAATGGTAAGAATTCCTTCTTTTTTACAGCAGCATAGTATTCCATCGTGTAGATGTACCACAGTTTTCTAATCCATTCATCTACTGATGGGCACTTAGGCTGTTTCCAGATCTTAGCTATGCTGAATTGTGCTGCTATGAACATAGGGGTGCATATATCCTTTCTGATTGGTGTTTCTGGTTTCTTGGGATATATTCCTAGAAGTGGGATCACTGGGTCAAATGGGAGTTCCATTTTTAACTTTTTGAGGAAACTCCATACTGTCTTCCATAGTGGCTGCACCAGTCTGCATTCCCACCAGCAGTGCACGAGTGTTCCTTTTTCTCCACATCCTCTCCAGCACTTGTCGTTTGTTGATTTATTGATGATAGCCATCCTGACAGGTGTGAGATGGTACCTCATTGTTGTTTTGATTTGCATCTCTCAGATGATTAGTGACTTTGAGCATGTTTTCATATGTCTCTTGGCTTTCTGAATGTCCTCTTTTGAAAGGTGTCTATTTAGGTCCTTTGCCCATTTTTTGATTGGATTGTTTATCTTCCTTTTGTTAAGTTGTATGAGTGCCCTATAAATGTTGGAGATAAAACCCTTATCGGTGATAACATTGGCAAATATGTTCTCCCATGCAGTGGGCTTTCTTGTTGTTTTGTTGATGGTTTCTTTTGCTGTGCAGAAGCTTTTTATTTTGATGTAGTCCCATTTGATTAGTTTCTCTTTAGTTTCCAATGCCCTAGGAGCTGTATCAGTGAAGAAATTGCTTCGGCATATGTCTGAGATTTTGTTGCCTTTGGACTCCTCTAGTATTTTTATGGTTTTCTGTCTTACATTTAAGTCCTTTATCCATTTTGAGTTTATTTTTGTGTATGGTGTAAGTTGATGGTCTAGTTTCATTTTTTTGCATGTATCTGTTCCTGCCATTCTTTATGACCCATCTACATTGGCAAGATGGGTGAGTTAAATTAAGAATATAATAGGAATGAGTTGGAGGATGGGTGAAAAAGGTGAAAGGATGTTGAGCATCTTTTCATGTGTCTGTTGACCATCTGTATGTACCCCTTGGGGTCACGTCCTCTGCCCATTTTAAAATCAGATTGTTGTTGTTGTTTTTAATGTTGAGCTGCATGTGTTCTTTATATATTTCTGATATTAACCCCCTGTCATATATAACATTTGCAAATATTTTCTCCCATTCAGTTGTATGTCCATTCAGTATATTGCCTTTTTGTTTTGTTAATGCTTTCCTTTGTTGTAAAAAAGCTTTTTAGTTTGATGTAGGCTTACTCATTTATTTTTGTTTTAGTTGTCTTTATCCCAGGAGATATATCTGAAAGAATATTGCTAAGACCAATGTCAAAGAGTTTATTGCATATGTTTCTTCTAGGAGTTTTATGGTTTCAAGTCTTACCTTTAAGTCTTTAACCCATTTTGAATTTATTTTTGTTTATATTGCAAGAAAGTGGTCTAGTATCATTTTTTTGATGTGTCTGTCTAGTTTTCCCAATACCATTTATTGAAGAGACTTTACCCCATTGTATATTCTTGCCTCCTTTGTCATAGATTCATTGACCACATAGGTATGGGTTTATTTCTACCCTGACTTGTTGTTGTTGTTGTTGTTGTTAATGCTCACCCGAGGATATTTTTCCATTGATTGTTAGAGAAAGTGGAAGGCCGAGGGAGAGACAGAGAGAAACATCAATGTGAGAGAGACACATGATTGTT